TGCAGCATTGCTGTCAACATTATTCGTATATTCGTATATTCGCAAATCCTGGCCCCGAATATGACAGCTGCCCGAATCCCTCATGTCATCGCTGCCACCTTTTTTATGGAGTTGCTTACATATGTCAAATATCTTGTGGCTATGCCATCAACTTCCAACTAGTTAAACAGCCAGAGAGCTTTGTGCTTGAGTTTTACAGATGACAGCTCAGCGTAAGTGGAGCTAAGTGGTTAGCGAAAACGCAGACAAATCTGTATGCGAAAAAATATTATTAACCTGTATTACGTTAGATAACTATCCAAATATTGCTGGATTAAATCCATTGCACAGAATGTGATATTTAATTTATTTAAGGCTCCGTTCTCTTTTTACAAGACAATGAAATATATGGAAAATTAAACAAACAAAATATTTTTCAAACGCGCCCCAAAGCATACAACAGAAACTAAACGAAAATTGCGTTGCGTATACGTCACGTAGTACACGCTGCGTACTCATGTTATAATTGAAAAAAAAAAGAAAAGAAAAGAGAGCGCTGCTTATCTCAATTTTGATGACAATTCAAAGAGCAACCGATAGACAGATGACGCACGATATCTTGAGGCTGGCATTTTGTCAAAAAAACTTGATTATCAATCGCACTCAACTCAAGTTCATGGACTATATACGAACTAAGGAAGAATATTGCCTTTGATTGCTATTGAGCATTAATAAATAAATAGCTTGTTGCGGGTCACACAGCAACTGAAATAGATGGCCCCCGTAAACATTTGCTAGAGCTAATCAAAATATGTAGCCAAAGGATGCCATGTGGAGCTAAAGGAAGTGAGAGTGGACCCCAAACGGAACGCAAAACCAATTTGCTGGCTAAAAAAATAAATAGAGCCGTTCGACACAGCGCACGGCGTACGACGCATGTAAAACTATATTTACACGGTGTTTACATATATTTTTAGATGCACAGCGATTTTAGAGGATTTGCGGCCTTCCTGGCCTGAGGTTAAGCGGAAATTGTAAGCCTGTTGCCAGTCATTGGCCTTTCGATTGAGCCTTTAATACCCTATATCTTAGAAAAAGTCTGCAGTTGTGAGCCCAACTCGGCTAAATTTAGTAAAGGAATTTTTTCATTAGAAGCATGTGTATTAGAAGCATGCCCTCTTTTTTTTTAGATATACCCTACATTGGCTTTGTGTTTCCCAGGGTATTCAACCTTTGACAGCTCTTAAATTATTTTTCAGTTCTGGTTAGCTAAGGGATAGTTTGCATAATCGAGCAGGCGTGCAAATTGTTTTGTGGCCGCAAAAGGAATCCTTTCAGTTAGCCATAATAGCTCGTTCCGTCAGTGTCCCCAGTCTGTCTGTGCTGCAAGAGGGGGGCACGTGTCCATCTGAAGCCCAAGCCAGCGACCTGCCATCTATTTACGTTATTTCCACACATTACGTTTATGTTTCGCTTTCGCTGGGCAAAGTCATTTGGCGAGTCCATCCATCCATCCATCCACGGGGAGTGAAGAGCTGCGTGGAAGTGGGGTTAGAAGAGGTCATGCATGTGCATAAGCCATAAATTATAAGCACACTTCAGTATGTCAAAAGGTTGCGTATTGCGTACACACGACTCTCGCATATTCCGGACACGCTTGCAACGCGTTGCAATATCAATGTCAGAGCCCAGATACGTGTTATATACATATGTACATATATATTTATTTATTTATATATATTCTCAACTTTATATATATGCACTGATGTTGATAGAATGTCCTTAAATTATGATCCGAACTGCTTTAGCATGCCAGCATGGAAGAGCTCAACACGTGTAAGTGTCAGAGTCCGTCGTAAATGAAAAAGTTAAGACCCGGGAAAATTGTTGCAGTGTCAAACGCCTAATTCATAGTTATTTGAAAGACTAGGAAATTTAGATATTATATTTACTATATTAAATAGATGTCAAGTATGTATTATTATTTTAATTAGTTACAAATATTGCTTTAGTATGATGTTTTCAAGTCTTATAAGCAAATGTTGAATTATCACTAGGACAACTAGGCGGCAGAAAAGAAACTGTTAATAGAAACTTCTAGAGTACTTATATATTTGGGTTCAATGCAGATCGAACCAATGTTAGATTAAGACCATTTGCAAATAAAACATCAGTTATTGACTCCGACTCATATAAATCTTTCTGGTTTTTGTCGTTCGAAATCACTACGAAATACAAATAATATTTAATGTACATTTTTTAAAGTTTTTTTGTATATTCAAGGTTTTTCATGCTGTTTAATAAAAATGAAACTCAATAATATAATCTGATTTAGAAACTCGAAAGGTTTTTTTAGTCTTTCAAACTCATTTAATAAAATATTTTTTAGATTCCTGGAACATGCATATTTGTGTTTATCAATGAATAGCAAATAAAAAGGAATATATGTATATATATATATATATATATATATTTTTTTTTTGTTTTCTGTTGATTCGACAGGGCCTGCTCAATATTCCGTTTATTCAGACGGAATGAAATTCAATTTTTATTTAACTTGATGCAATTTGGGTCGGCGCATTGCCTGTTTTATGGTCCGGATTGTGCATCCGTTTATTTGTCATGCAATTATTGTTGTTGTTTTTTATTAACTTGTATTTTATTTTTTAAAATTGCAGAATGATGAAAGCCACAGCGTGGTTTTGCCCGGTGTTATTGACTTTACTCAGCGCCACGAGGCTCGTTTGCACCGCACAGCGTGGTGCGCCGGCAACAGCAGCGGGTGCTGCAGGCGGTGGCTCGGCCAACGGATTTCCGCTGGACTATTTGGATGTACAGGCCGTACAGGTGAGTAAGCCGTGAGCGATGCTATTGTCCCCCGTACACCAGTCTTTTGTGGTTTTCCGCAGTTGTCGCTCATTTTTCTGACATTTTTTTCGGACTCACATTTCCTTTGCCTTTTAATCTGTACAAAAGAGAAATGGAAAAAAATGATGAATTCTTTGATGTTGCCATCGGGGCATTTATAAGCATTTCATTTGCAAACAGAAGAGGGAAATAGAAAAAATAGAAACCAGAAGTAAATTTAATTTTATTGCTTCCCTCATTTAAATCACGGTAATAATTACTGGAATATGTTCATGAGGACGAATATACGTGTCTCTGCGATTGACAATCAATTGATTCCTTATAAAAATTTCGGGAATGGACGATTGGCAACAAATTGAAATCACAGTAAAACATGCTATTTAGGGTCTTTTATTGTAAACACAGAAGATTGGGGTCCACCTTTTATACAAAATTATTTTTTAATTTTTAAAATTAATTAACCATAAAGAGGATATTTCTATCTGGCTCCGTTTCCTAATCTATATCAATTTTCATCAAGATCTCTTCTATTCCAATCCTATAAAAAATAATCTCTATTTATATTATACTCAATGGCTTGCCATAAATTCTATTTATACACATATATATGTGTGTGTTTATCAATAAATTCCCCAACTAAGCCCTTGTTATCATTCGTGTTTGTTCTGCTCTCACAAATTTTAATACAGTTTCCTAGGAAGCTCGCTTATCGCCTTGGTCGAATTTCCGATTAAACAACTTTTGATTTCTAATGAAGGCTCAGTTCAAAATCATTTTAATCTCTCATTATTATCATAAAGTGAGACATACAATAGTCCCGAGTAATCTAATCAGCAGAATGTGTCCAATGACCAATCATTAAGATTTAACATTCTGTAAAACAAACAAATTAGTCAATGTTCTGTTGTACTAATATGAAACTAAGCGAGTGTATTGGTTTATCAGTACAATATCTTGATGGCTGGCGAACTCGCGAATTTATACACGTTGGTGAACACGAGATTATAACGTGCTAAGGCTTTCTGACAATAAATTCACTAGCGAGATTTGTTAAATATTTCAAAAATATTAATGTTTACATTGGATGCGAGTAAATTGAATAACAAACTGTGTCCTATTTTACATTTACATTTTACATTTACTTTTGATATGACCTACTGTTGAAATCAATCAAGATATATATAAATATAAACAAAATTTAAAGCTAAATGTTCCATTGGGGAAAAGGAGGGAAACAATTACCCGGCTAAGTACTTCCCTTAAAATACTAAAATATTCATTCGTGAATACATTGACGTATTGTTGGACCGTGAACGAGCATTATGCAGTCGTTAGCTCCCAACAGCAACATTCGCACTTGATTGTAACTGAATTTGGTAAATGGAAAATTTTTAATAACGGTTTATGTACGCTTCATTAGCACAGCAAAAAATAAAAGTAAAAGCAAAAAAAAAAATGTAAGCAAAAAGTAAACAAAACATATTATAACCTTGTTTGTTTACCTTTGACAAGAAGATAAATAAAGCTTGGCGCTTTGTTGTTTTACAGCGTGAATAAATCCCCCAAAGTTGACAACAAAAGTTTAAGTTTTCACGCTGTTTAATTTGGTCAATATGTGTGGGCTCCACTTGGAGGGCACATTGGAGCTTATAGCTTGGGGAGCTCTGCTGCCAACACTTGTCAAATTGACAGGCGGCCATTTCAAAGGAGCAACTTTTGGGGAACACGAACATCTGTGCATGTGGTCTTCATTCTCACAAATACTCTCTTTCTGCATCTGGGGCCTGCATCTTTTATGAACTATTTGGTTGCCCTATAAGTATTTTAGCCAGTGCAGCATTTGGTAAAATCAAAACTATTTAGAGCCAAGATTAAAGTTTGCCAGCGTAAATAGTTCAGTCAAATGGAAATTTATGCGAAAACTTTACCAAAAAAACAATTCATAACAATTTGCGATAAAAATGGGGCGAAGAAAAGTGGGCGAATGGGGAATACTCTCTCATTGCTTATTCCAGGTGTATGCTATATTTCATAACTACCTTGATTGATATATAAAGAATTTTAATGGAATTAGCCCCTTGCTTATAGACAATGTCGCAGGATTATCTACGAATTGCGAAAAATACTTAATTTCGAAATCGCCAAGTATGATTATTTATTGTATGATTCTTTTTATAATTTGAGCAAGCAGAGACTTGAAGTTTCAAGCAGAATTAGATTTTAGGCATTCTGATCGTTGTTCTGATCGCCGTCCTGATTCTCTTCGTTATTCGCTTCATTCTCATCTTCCGCTTCGCCATCGTCGCCCTGGTTATTCTCGCCGTCATTATTATCATCATTGTCATTATTATCATCATCATTTTGATCATTGTCATTATTGTCGTTCTCGTCGCCTTCAGATCCACCTGATGGTGGCTTGCCACCGGGAGGACCATGTGGACGTCCATGTCCGCCAGGACCATGGCCACCCAGTCCTCCAAGGCCATGGCCACCCAGTCCGCCAAGGCCATGGCCTCCCAGTCCACCAGGACCATGGCCAGGAGGGCCCTGGCCTTCGCCACGTCGTGCCATTACGGCAACCAACAAGATAGCAAAAACTGCTAATGTAATAGCCCTCATGATGAACTTTAGATTTGGTTTGATTGCGTTTTCTTCAGATAGCGATCTATTTATAGGGCCCAGGCTCCAGGCGTCGCATATTTGAACAGTTGTCTTCGATTAATAGGGAACAACATCTTGTTATGAGCAGTTATTGATATTGTTGCTGAGCAAATACTAACAGTAATAAATGATATTATTTGCTGCTGATATATGTAATTGCTGTTGCAAAAATTTTTCCATAACAGAAGTACAGATATCGATCGAATTGCATGAGTAATAAGCCACTTGAATACCACGTTTATTATGTTATGCCCAGCGATAAGAGTTGCGTTGAAACATTTTTGCGATCTATCGGAACTGACAATTGAACTTTAATTTATGCCATTAACACTACGGTAACAAGAAATCAGCAAATAATGTATTTATGGACCCTACATAGAAGGCAATCTTAAGTGGCCCGAACATTATGATAATGTCATGTTAACAAATAAAAGTGTATGACATTCTTTAAAATCAATCGCAGCCATTGAAGTTTTCAAGTACTCAGAAAATGATCAATAATAAAAGATTACGAAATGATTTGACTAACATTTTCTATAATTAGAATAAAACCATCTACTTATATTAATATATCATTTCGTTTCTTAACTATGTTGGATTTCCAATGTTTACTACGCTCGCTTAGCATCAAAATAATAATGATATTCTAGTTGTCCGAGCCGCTGCCCTCCTCTGCTTCTGTCGTTGTCTCAACTGGTTCTCCCTAACCCTCGGTCGTTGATTCCTCTGGCTCTACGGTGGCTTGGGTAGTTTCCGTCGGCTCTTCTGTAACTTTAGTAGACTCTTCAGGCTCTTCCGATGATTGAGTAGTTTCTGTCGGCTCCTCCGGGACCTGAGTAGTTTCTGTGGGCTCCTCGGTTACCTGAGTAGACTCTTCCGGCGTCTCGGGTGCTTCTGTTGTTTCTGTGGGCTCGCCGAAAGCCTGAGTAGACTCATCTGGTGCTTGTGTAGACTCTTCGGGTGTCTGTGTAGACTCATCTGGTGCTTGTGTAGACTCTTCGGGTGCCTCTGTAGTCTCTTCGGGTGCCTCTGTAGTCTCCTCGGGTTTGTCTGTAGACTCCTCGGGTGTAGATTTTTCCGGTGCTGCTGTAGATTCTTCGGGTACCTCAGTGGTTTCTTCGGGTGCCACTGTAGACTGTTCGGGTGCCTCAGTTGTCACCTCGGGTGCTTGGCTACTTTCAATTGGCTGTTCTGGGGCCTGAGTTGATTCTACTGGTTTTTCAGGAGCTTGGGTAGTCTCCACGGGAGCTGATGTGGAGCTTGGCAATGCTGTAGGTTGTTCAGGACGCATTCCATGTCCATGTCCGTTTGTGAAATCCGGATGTCTCCAGCGGTCGTCTCTATGCCAACCACTCTCATCTCTGTGCCAGCCACCATACCTTCCCTGCCATCTATCTCCATGCTTATTCCAGCGACCATGTTCCAGATCGCCTACTCTGTCGTGCCATTGATCATTGCGATGGATGCCCGCCCAGCCGCCGTAATTACGTCCCCAGCCAAAACCGTTCGGCCTGGCCGCGACCACGGCGCAGAGAGCCACGAATATCGCAATTGTTAGGACCTTCATTTTACTATTGTTCGATGTATACTAAATGGCCCGCAGTATAGCCCGGGCAATTTATATCACGAAAGCAAGAGGCTATTGGCAGCAAGTTACCATGGCTCGCAGACATGCCGGCCATTCATGACTAAAAAAAAAACATTTGTTATCTAATCGCTATCTGCGCTACAATGTCTGATAGCCAAAAGGGCAAAAAAAGTGAAATTTCATTGCGGAGCGCTGGGCGATAGGTTTGCGGGACTTTTCGTTCTTAATTATGTTCTTTCGTTGGTTAATCTAGTTTAGAGTAACCTTGAAAATTGGCGTTGGGCAGGTTAAGGTTTTATTTGACCTTATGGTATTTTCCACTCCAAAATAAACAATAACAAGGAACTGAGCCTTATTCGGAAATCTCTAACCTTCGGGTATTTTCCACAGACCACTTGCCAATGATTGAACAACCACAGGCGGGGCTAGAATTATCTATGATCAATTACCAATCACAAGACTTTGCCAGACTTGATAATTGGGGGCGTTCACATTGTCCAAGTTGATTAAATCGCGGCTCAGTTGATTGGCCGGCAGCCTTGGGGCTTATCGTGTTCTCTATAGATTTCTCAGATTTATCTGTCGGATTTTTGCTAGTATATGTCTTATAGATTTCATTGACTTCGTAGACTTTTACACATTGGTCTATCAATGCAAATATATGAAAATAGTAATTGACATTAAGTCTTATGATACAATGTCGAAAATTGATTGATAAGAAATACTTTATGCTGGCCTTGATCATAATACGTGTAAATGTTAGCTATCATTAGTCACTCAAAAACCATCTGGAATGCCTCAACGTTATCTATATTGGGTTGTTTACACACAGTTTGTTATCTGAAAGCTGCTCGAGTTTGCAAATTATTGTAAATATTTATTCATTTGGATGCAGCAAACAGCGAAACCCGCTAATCAACTCTTTAATTATAAAGAAAAATAATAAAAATAGCAAACAGAAACTCGGAAATGCTTACCTATCAAGCAAAATGATTTATTATTTACCCATTAAAAACCCATTTTGAAATATACATTAAAAAAATTTGATAATTGATTGGAGAATTGTTTTTCTAATAACTTGCTAGATGTTCCCAGAATTATCAGAAGTTTATCTTCAGACTTTCATTATATGAAAAATAGGGAAACTTCTCTCTTATTCAATTGTGTCTATCATTTAATTCAGGCGTCAATTGTCTGTGTTTATGTTCATTAATATTGTCAAAGACCTGTATTAGATAAGTTAAACTTTCATAACTTGGCGATTCATGAAGATATTTGTGCAAAACAAGCGTAACAAAGTGAGAACCAACTCAAACAATTTCTCAGTTGAAAACTTTTTGAATTAAGATTTTGTTGTGTAAGCACTGTAAGCAGAAGTTAAAAAATGAATGCATAAAAAATTGGATCTCTCTCCTTTCCTTTTTTTTCTATTTTCAGGATGAGTACTCGCTGGCCAAGCGGAATAAACCGTCGCTGTCCATTGTCAATCCGCTGGATGTGCTGCGCCAGCGGCTGCTCTTGGAGATTGCGCGCAGACAGATGAAGGAGAACACTCGGCAGGTGAGCGAAGCGTACAGGTGGCCGGAGGGTATTCATTGTCCGGCTTGGTATTTTTAATAAGCGCGAATGAGCACTGAAAAACTTTTCATTATTGTTTTGTTCAACTCGCAAGATAAACAAAAGAAATGCCTGGGTAATATGCGATTTTCATTTGAGAGTGCGATTCAATGTAGATGGAAAATTGTTGCAACTAATCAAAATTAGAGTTGCAAATGGAAGAGCAAGTTGGACAGCAACTTCAAAGTCCATGAAATGCACATCGCTTGCGATAACTTTTTTAATTTGCCAGCCAACTGAAAGGGAAGAATGTGTTTTTATTTTTTGTTAAACAAACGCCAAATGCCTGGCTGGCAAGGTCAGGTTCCCAGCATCTCCGTTTCTCTGCTGCCCGTATCTGGCCACGTTGCTGCCCATTTGTCAGACAATAGCCCAAAGGCGAGTCTTATCGCTAGGTATTGACAGACCCGCATTGGGTGGACATGTAAATAACACTGCGGTAGATATCAAAAGGTTAGCGGAACGAATGTGCTCAAATGGGAATGCCGGACATATTAATGCCCTCTAATACAATCGATACTTTGAAAACTGAATACGTTTGACATTTTCTATTTTTTTTTTTTTTTTATTGGATATACTAAACTATTAGTTAAATCATTTTATCCGTTTACAGCTAAAGATTTGGTTTCTCAAACACCCTTTCGCAATAATTTGGCATGTGCAGGGTATCTAACAAAAAGGCTTCAGAAGCTTAAGGATGGTTGGCAGCTAAACCTGCAAAGGCTTAGAGCATCCTTTCTCTGTGCGTTAAGGGGGAAGCCAACGTGTCGTATGCGTAATACGAAAAATATTTCGCCCTGGCAACAAAGTAAAATTTATTTGGCTACCTAAATGTTGATGCAGCCCACGGCGCTAGGTAAATTGTGGTGAATAAAAAAAATCAAACGATTTAATGCCAGGAATTCGAATGATTTGGCCCTTGGGTGCCTCTCGACTAATGCGGACTCTTCGCCTGCAGATGAGAGATGAGAGCGGGTCACAAGAAATTGTGCGCTCCATTTACACATGTCAAGGCACACGTATTGATTTGTCAAAGGGATATTATAAATTGCTGCATGAATGCGAGCGCCGTGAAAGGAAAGCTCTCGAGTGCTTACGCACTATTGGGCTTGGGTAACGAAAGAGTTCAGAACAGAAAATTGAAGATTTATGTGCTTGACTACCAAAACTTTAATAGAATACTACATTCAATATGTTTTCATGTGCAATAGAAAGTGTTTACCTTCCTCTGGCTCCAAGGTCGTCGATACCTCAGGGTCAACAGTGGTCGACTGTTCTGACTCGACTGTAGTCGAATCTTCAGGCTCGAGTGTGGTCGACTCTTCAGGCTCGACTGTGGTCGCATCTTCAGGCTCAAAAGTTGTGCTTTCCTCGTCTTGTGGGCGGCGGCCATGATGACGACGGTGCATATGTGGTGGACGTCGATCGGGTTGATATTTTTGTCCATTGGATGAACCTTGCTCGTGGTTATAGGGATTACGCTGATCAGGCTGGG